GGGGTGGCTCTGACAAAGTGATACAAAGGGCCACGCAGGGACCACAAAGTATAGACTTAATTAGGCAGAGGAGTGGGGGTATATAAATACGGATACCTATACTAAGGGGTGTTAAGTTGATAAGTATTTCCGAAAAGTTTGTTTCTTGGCGTTTAGAAAGTTGGGAAACTATGGGAGCCAAACGAGAAGAGCACCGAGTTGTAAATTACATCGTTTCGCTTAAAAATAGACTCCTCTTATTAATGAAAGCGCGAGTCGCAAAGCGAGCGCCCGCATCACGGACGCAAAGTCTGCTTTGCTTAGACATTTCTATAAAATCAGACGTTTTTAAATTAAAATAAAAATAATTAAATTTTTGAAGTAATATGTTTTAAATTTTGGTATTAATGTGTTTATATAGATGGATGATTAATTAAGTGATGGGATAAATTGAGGATTTGATTTTTGGATCTTGGATTTCAAAGGCTGGCGCGCGCGCGGTCAGAGAGAAGGTTCGGTTCGGTAACGGGCCTACGACCTATACGCACTAGACGTCGCCGAGAGCGTGCGTGCGTACACGCTTCGCGCCTAAATTTAGAACGTCTGGAAATACCTCAAGAACGAGCCGCGATCGCGAACACCGCTGCCGCGCCGCCTCACACCGCATGCGCCCCCTCGACCATTATCGGCAACCAAACAATCAAAAATTTCCAACAAAACGCAGTAATAAACTTTCAAAATCTGCTTACTTTCCAAAAAGTGGTCTTTCAATACGCCTGGTTTCCTGGAAAATATCAATTTATTTTGAAAACGCTTCGCGCAAGTCAAATAAATCGCTAACGTCTAAACTCGACTAGACATGATTTACTCCGCGCGCATAATCCACTTAACATCAAAGCGATTTTTCAAAGCGCGCACGCTTCGGGAAAACCGACTTTTCATTTTCCGGGAAATTAATGATAATTTCGCGCGCCGACAACAAGTGTGTGCGAATCCGCTGGGTTTATTCAATAATTATAAAACAATAAATGCGCCTGGGAAAGTAAATAAATAAGCTAATTGCGCGGATGATTTAGCACCGCGTGAAAAAAGCAACAATGAAGGCAGCGAGAAGCGAAGAAGCGCCGTGAAGACGCACACAGAGGACGATTGTATATTATGATAGCGAGCGAGTTGCACGAGAAGAGAGTGCTGCACTGGCGGCGGCGTCGGTGGCGGCAAAAACCATGGCGCCGCATCATTATATTCCCAGAGCCGTGCGCTCGCCGGAGAATGAAAATATACAATCGGATATTTATCGATTGTTTGTTATTGCTCGCGCGCAAATGAGCGAGCAAAAAGTGTTCGGAAGAAAATCGTAATTGCTCTAATCACAATCACGCCAGATGAAAAGATCAAGACCTCCAAGTGGCTCAATGTCATTCAGAATATTTTTATTAAATTTTATTATTAAATTATAGGCCACTGAACTCAATCAAAAATTAAATTTTTAGATAATAAACATTACAATGAATATTTCATGCATATACATGCATTGTAACGCCATCTAGGTTTGAATTTAATAACTATAACGATGATAAGTAACAATATAAATTTTTAGCGTTAATTTAACAGTTTTAAAGTTATATTTCAGCAGCAAAAAGTAGCTTAAGTCATTATCCATAGTCTAATCTACCTCTATAATAAAATTTATCAAAATTTATTGTGTAGTTTCGGTGTAAAAGAAGAACAAACATACAATTCGTGTTTTTTTACCGTTAAAAATCCAAAAATTAATGAAAAACACGCTGAATTTCCTCCTGACGGCTCTAATATTAAATCACAACTTATGTTGAGTCATAAAACTGTGTCAGCAGGATGTATCCTGCCGATTAGTAACGTTCCTACGAAAATCTGGCGCGATTCACAACTGCATCTTGACTAATCAATATATTTTTATTACGAGGTGGAAATTTCCATCGCACATGGTTAACACTCTTAAAAATATTGCGTGTATATCAGTAAGTGTTGCACTTCTCGTAACAAGTGGGCTCTCCTGATGTGTTTCGAAGTGTGTAAATCATTTTTCCCGCAGTACTTACGCGTCAGCACTGTTTGGGTTCGGGTTACGCGCGGTAAATTTAAAACGCAATTGAAACGTCTGTGTCCTATTGCCCGAAATTTCGAAATAACGCCCGAAAATAATGAAAACACGACGACGTGCTGGCCCGCTTTTTTCCACCGCTGCATGTTTGATCTTTTTCGGCACGTTGGCACGCCGCGTAATTGCAATACAGACTAATTACGCGCTGAATTAATAATAATAAGCGCACATGTGCACTGTGCACATCTTTATCGCAATACGAATCGCGCGCTAAATTTATTAGACACGATGATGATGATATAAGCGCGTTTCGCAACATCCTGTGTGGTGGCAGGTAACGGCTGCGTCTGCGGGGGCGTTCTTTTTTTTTGCTTGCCCGTCTGTCGTCCCGCAGCACGCCGGCGTACGGTTTCAGATGATTGTGACTGTATAAAATGCGAATCCGTTTCGGAGGCGGCGGCGGTCGTCTGGCAGCCGTGGCGCTCCGCCAAATGATTCACCGATTCGGTGCGTCTCCCGAGTGTACGCGCTCTGCCATCGGCTACAACTTTTACTACGACCGGCGCTATTATTAATATTTTTTGGCACCGGCTCAAATTCACAATTCGATACCAAGCGCACATCCATGCACATCCTGTATATTACTATCACTCATTTTTACCTGAGCTGAGTTGAGTCTGATTCTCAGGATTATGCACAATTTTTTTTTAAGCTCGCTTTGTGACATTTGAGCTGTTTGCGCAGCTTTTTTCAACGCTTGTAAATAAATAAGTGCATGCGTAGAGTACACGCAGCGGCAAGACACACCTGAAAAATCCTTGACGCTATTTATAACAGTCCTTATCCTAAATTGTGCGCGCCGCTTGTTTCGCACCTTTCGTCTCGCTCGAACAATACGCGCGCAGCGCCAAAAGCGCTTTTTTACTAGACCGGCAAGAGTTACTGTAAGTGAAAATTTTCGAAATAGAACGCTTGGGAACTCTCGACAACCGCGTGAAAAATGTGCGCGATGTTATAATTTTTGCATAATCGCCATATTTCAGCCGGGCGGTGTAAACACTATCGGATTGGCGGCAGCGGCTCGTAACTTTATTTTGCACGCTCGCAAATTACGATTTTACGGCTTTTTGCAAATAAAAGCGCGCTATTTCAATACGGTACAATTGTTCCTCGCTTGCCACAATGTTGTTAAAACATAAAATCAATACTACAAGCACTAAAACTTATTGTAAAGTAGGCAAAAATTTTGAAGTGTCTAAAAATTATTTTCATTTCGGCTCTGACCTTACATGAATAAATTATTATAAAATCTGCTGTAATCAAAATTAAAAAGAAAACTAGTATTTGTTAATGAAAATGCGAGTTATGTTGCTGCAAAGTTAATAATTTTTTTCTCATTGAGAAAATTTAATTTTTCTAATCAATAATTGCTTTTTTAATTTTTCAAACTCATCTATAATATAAAAATGAATCGCAAAATCTGTTGGTAAGCGCATAACTCCACAACGCCTAAACCAATTTGGCCAATTCTTTTGAAAATGTTCGTTAAAGTCCAAGGATGGTTTTTACGACGAGAAAAATTCGAATAATTGTCAGGAAAACCCTAAAGACAGCCCTTTTCTATAGGATAAAAGTTGGCATTGAGATTCAATCATAGTTATAGTTAAATAGCTGAATCCGAGATGGCGCGCAAAAGTGCAATATTAGCCATTCTTTATACCTATCATTAATTTCTTTAAAATAAGATTGCGAATCTTATTGATAGAATTGACACATACTGTGTCTAGAACAAGAGAGTAAAAACGAATTACATTTTTATTAAACACTACCCGGAAGAAATTGCGGGCAAAAGCTAGTGAATAATAAAAATTATTGTAGAGCTAAAAAAAACAATTTTGCGTTAGAAAAAATCAATTTTTTTACTTAAAAATGAGGAAAAATCTTTAATTTTAATTCAAATAAAGCTAATACTAATAATTTTTGACTTTAATCAATATGATACAAAGCCTCATGGAATTTACTAACAATACCATACAAAAAACAAAAAATTCCCCGAAAATTATTCAGTTCCCATTTCTAAACGGTTGTTAAACTCTCCGCTCTAACATATTTGCATCTTTAGTAGGTTTTGTCCCTTTGTCGGCGCCTTAGACCATAAATTCACCTCTTTCCACAAACACGAAATAATTTTCACCGATACCACGCATGCGCACTAGCGCAAAATTTTGATCAGCCTGCGCCTGCAGAAAAAAGCCAGCCAAAAACTGCGCTGGCATTCCGGGCGCGCAAGATTTATGTGTAGCATTTTTTGATTGTCCTGCGATGGACGGCGGCCGGATCGTGAGAAGAAAAAGTGATCGGAAAACGACCCACCGCGGTACGTACGCGGCGGCGCGAATATATTAGCGACGACGAAAATTAAAATACAATTCGCTCGCGCGCGCGCGCCCGCATGAAAGTCGCGCATCGCGCGTGTGTGGCGCGCGGCGGCCGCCCCGAGAGATCGGCGCGGGTAGCACCGGCGAAATCGCATATTTTTCGCCGACATCGCTACATATTTGGCGAACGAACTATTAACGGATTCCGATGCATTGTTTCAAATTTAATATTCCGCACGCGTGCACCACCTGAAATACATTCCGGGAATTCGGAGCGGGGCAGCCATATAAAACGCACACGGCGCACACACCGCGGATGGACTGTCCTCGGCGCGCGGCCCTTCGCGTTTTACATGCTTCGCGGTCGTCGTTTTACGTGTTTGACTTTTTTGTCGGCGCGTTTTTCGCATTTTTCGCATTCCGGCGGCGCGCAACCGACGCGCTTGACGTCTTCCAATGCTTTACCACCGGCCGGACTCTATTACAACTAATAACAACAAAATATCACATTCCATCACTACTTAAAAATAATTATTTAATTTATTTTTTTGAAATTTCAGAACCTAGATTATCAAAACCGGAAGTAAACAAACCGGAGCAACTCGAGCCGGGGAAGAAGGCGCGCATCGTGTGCAAAGTCCGAGGATTTCCGATTCCGTTCATCGTGTGGAAGAAAAACGAGACGGTGTTGCACAGCAATTCCAACATAAGGATAACGTACCGAGGGTATGTCTAAATTCACAAATAGACTTGTTACACGTAGTAATTAACTTAAATTCAAACTCAAAAAACAAAATAATTGGCACCTGATGCTTCCGAAGCACCGGATGCAATTTTTGGCATGCGTGACTATCAGAAATAACCAATAAATTTATTTTTGAATATCTCTGTTGCATTGCAGCGAGGATTTGGTAGATAGGTAGGCAATAATAATCCTTAACCTATATTTTTCTCATTTTCAAAATATTTAAGTATAAAAATTTAATTTTGAATAATTTTTGTATTTTCTGCAGGAGAAAGAGCACGTTAGTGATAAGGACCACCGAGGAGCGTGATTCCGGGCGGTATACGTGCGTGGCGCAAGGTGTCGATGGCAAACGGATGGAGGCGAGCACCGAATTGCGGATAGCTAATAGTAATAGCCATGGTATCTCTCTGCACATATTTTCCAATCGCTCATTGTGGGGAAATTAAAAACAAACTAACTGTATCACATTGACATGTGCATTATTATTTAATCAATGTGGAAATAATCAATTAATTATTAATTTCCCCACAGTGAAGCGATTTCTATTAACAAAAACAAATTAATACTTTACGTTTTCTTGCAAAATTTCGTAAATTCATGGCAAATATTTTCGAATTTTTTTTATAGAGGAAAACACATAGTAAAAATATTTAATTATATTTAGTCTGATCTATTGTCTATCAGCGAGGTGTCGGACGATTTGCGAACAACAAATCCATGATGGCGGCCGCATCCGACCGTGAAAAATGTCTATAAAAAACTTTTGTTTTCTCTCTGCGCGCGATAATTTTAGTTTTCACACTTTGGGCCAGCGCTTTTCATCCGCCGCTATTAATATAAATCTACCTGAGACTATCACTGCGCTGCGGAAATCATTTCAGTCTGCATAAAATATTTAAAGTTTCCGCTAGAGAGATTTCGCTTCCCATTTTCTAAGATTTTTATAGCGTATCACCAAACTTCACTTAGTTTTATTGTCGCGTTGAGAATTTAACGATTCTGTTTACTTTTCCAACGCGTTGCGCAATTGCGTAATTTGTTTATGCCAAAAACACAATGCACATTTGGCATGCAGACAAGAATATTGATTAAAATTGAAATTATTTGCCATGCAAACAACGAAAATTTGCATTTTTGCGCTCTCGCGAGAAATCCAGATGTTGAAATTTTTTAACAACTATTTTTGGCCAACACACTTGTTCGCAGCCTGCGCGCAACATTGTAACACTGATGAAATTCTGTTGGATGTGGGGCATAATCTTTTATTTTCCCAAGGCGATAATTAGCAGACGACGACGAACGTTTTGCGCGCGTCTAACGAGCGAACGACGTCGATGCGTCGGCGTCGGCGTGTTTAATGATAGCACCGAATCATGATTGTTTATTTACGCGATCGTTTTTTTTTTCTCGCTTGTCTTTGCAGAGGAGAAGTGCGACAGCAACTTGTTCTGTCTCAACGGCGGCACATGCATTAACGTGACGGACCTGAAGGAGTCTTATTGCATGTAAGTATTAAAAGGATGTCACCGGTTAAGAAAATCAAGCAAATGCGCGTATTTTTTTCTGTTTTGGTTTTTAGATGCAGCGATGGATATACGGGAAAAAGATGCGACCAGAAGACGATCCTGGAGCCGCAACCAAGTAAGTCTGACGAAAGCACGTGCGAAAAGCACGGCGTGCCGGCCCACATGTGCCGATTGCGCTGATTGTCATCCATAGACGAGAATCGATGCAGCACGCACAAACCGAAACAATACAAACAAAAAATTGTGTAAATTATTTTCCTCTCTAACTTTAATCGCCTCTTAGACGTCTAGGATTTTTGTACATAAATTATAAACTTTAATCTAATCGAACGCAAACGAAAGGAAGCGCGTAGCAAGCCAAACAATGCCAAATTATATTTGTTTATAAAAAAGATACAAAGCACACAATATAAGACACACACACATGCAGTTACTGTAACCGAGGACGAATCGAACACTTTGTACATTTGTAAAAAAACGCAACTCCTATTACGATAAGACTGTTATTTTTACGAAATGAACACGATAAAGAAGGAAATATTAATACACACAGGGTGTTCCGAGATACCAACTAATTTGTGACTTTTTTTAGCACTAATCTTAAATTACGTAAATTTAAACGAAACAAAAAATGAGTATTAAAAATTTCCATTATTAAGAAATATGTAAGGAATTTGTGAACGTCCAAGAGATTTACCCCCACGCCCCAACGCCCACATGGTTGCCATTGTTTTGTTTGCACCTTTTTTTTTATGTTAGTCTAAAAGTGAAATTCTAACAAAAAAAAAAACAACACGAGCTGATTAATTTGTATAAAGTCATGTAGATACATTTATTATATTTTTTAGTTTATAGGAATATTATATATTTATTTATTAATGCCTTTTAAAGCGAGAAAGAACGATGATGAAAATCTAATACTCACAACAAATTTGCAAGAAAACCAACAAATATTTGTAACAAAACGAAATAAAAAACCAAACAAACAAGAAAGTTAATTACAACCAAACTATAGAACACGAAGGATCTAATAAATAATTTATTTGAACGTCCTAACATCCTCAGAGTGTTGTGTTTTCATGTTTCTAGGTGATGTGTTTCTCTAAGCTTGTTTTCTTTCAGTCAAACACAAAATACAAACGCAAACAGGCGCAGGGTTTGGTTTCTTTTAGTTAAAAAAAACACAAAACATTTCTCTAATTGGTTGTTGTGGGGTACGTAAAAATTTTATTTTATTTTCTACTCTTTTGTCTAACATCTAACGTCTGTTTGTTGTTGTTTTACTAACAATTTTCATTCGAAAACAACGCTAATAACTAAAAAAATAAAAAATTTAAAGTAAAAAGAGAAATCAATTCGAATCGAATAAAAATCAACTTTGTTGTGAGTCTTAGAATAATTCTTAAAAAACCAATTCAATTTGCATGTTATTTAATTCGTTGATTGTAATGTAATCGTTTTAATTCTAGCGAATCGCACAAGAATGATCGTGTCGCGTTTGTAGATGCTCTCACACTCATGCCTCATTATTATGTAAATGCATTGATTAATTAATTTATTCCGTAATAAATATGCGCATGTGAATAACGATTAATATATTTGTTGTAGGTTTCATGTATGAAGACGAATAGATTTTTTAACGGACAGACTGAAAATAACGGTGAGACTTTGAAGAATCTCACATCGGACGCGGACAACGAATGGAATGATTATTGAATTGATGTTATGTTGATGCCAAAGATGATAACAATTAAATGTCTACATTTATCTATCTTTATCTCTAACAAATACTCCAATTAACGCTGTAGAATTTCATTAATTTCTCATTTATTTAACATTTGTAAATATCTGATTGATGAATACTTGTGAGGTTATTAATATTAACGCCCAAAACGCGAAAAAAGTGCTTTAGAGAAATCGAGAACAATAATGAAATACTCCAATAAATTTTACAACTTTCTAGTGATGTAAACGTTTAATAGAACTTAAATTTTGTACGAATACGCATCAAATACATAAACTTGTTGTTGGAAAGTATTTTGAACTTAAACTGCCTGATTGATGTAATTGTAATTTTGATAAAAATAGTTAAGCAACAAGAAAACGATTAATAACACTCGCATAATGTGATATTATTCTTCTAATTTAAATTTTAGCTAAACTAAAACTAAATTCTAAGCGAAATAAATGTGTTTATAATGTGTATAATTAGATGATGTGTAGTAGAAGGAGAAAAATGTTGACTTATGTCACTGATTGCAAACAAAAATGGAATTTAATTTCAACAAGGAACAAACTTAAATGTCTATTACGAACAATAAATGAATGTGTACAATTTCTTCAGCCAGATATGCGCGAATAATTGATGCGCCGGTTATCCGAAAATCATATATTATATTATTTAAGTATGTGTATTATTTATATAAATACTGATATTAACGCAAAACGCAAGAAATATTATTACGATACAAATAGCGCTATTTTTAATGGAAGAAAACAATAAATTATATTATTGATGCTAAGGAATGTGTCTTATCGGAAATAACACCTGGTAGTCAAGAAATTATGAGAATCTAACAATTTTGGTAGAATATTGCTTAGAAGAACATGAAATAACTTACAGAAACGACGAGGATGGAGTGATTGATGAATGCACCACTGCACTATCACTAGTATTATTAAAGTTAATGATTTTAATTGATTTTAAACACCTTTTTGGGACACAATTCACACCATTTTATTCTTTCGCGTTTGACCTTTAAATGTTTAAGATAGTAAGTATTACTTATATATTTTGGCTGAAGGGGGCAGCACCTCTCGGACAAGTTTTATTTTTCCTAAAGCTATCTTCACACTTACATGCAAAATGGTAAATACATTTATTATTTACACCAAGTATATTATGCAAAATTTGTGTAAAAATAATAATTTTTTGATTTACACAAATTTATTTTTCTCTTAACTAGGTTTTTATAACGTAATTTACTACGTTTTACTAATTTTATAAATTTATAGGTTACCTATGTGTTAATGAAGCCTAACGTGTCACTTTCCCCACATGTTTATTCAAATCCAAATTTCAAGTGGACCTAACCCGAGATATAGAGAATTTGCGAAATGATAATTTCCGTAGTACAAAAGCGTTTCCTCCACATCACCACGCATCATCTCCAAAACATCCAAAAGTATATTTACGCCATGAACAGAGCCTACCTTCGTCACAAGCCATCCACCGAGGGTGATAAGTTCGACATTAGTTTCCAGCTTGTGGATCCCGAATTCAAAGTCGATCGAAACTTCAATTTCACTCGCAGTTTGGATGAAAACGTATCTACTTTTCTATCGAGAATCACCACGAATGTAGAAAAAGCATATGCGAAGAAAAACAAGCGGAAAAAGAAGTCCCCAGATGCAGTTGAAGATCAAACACCTGCTGTATCAGTATCACTCTATTGCAATTTGATAAAAATTAATGAAGAAGTTCCTTGCAATCAGGTTTTCAAAGAAAAGAACAGTGTGACATTAAAACTCTTTGACAAAGAGTATGAAGTGGTGATTAATGCACCTTTTATTGAAAGTATAACACTGCCTAGTTCAATATTACCCAACTTTCCTGTTTATCCACTGAAGTTTGAAGCTTTGTATTATGATGAGAAGTACTCAGTGTTTGCCTGGTATAAGTCACATGATAAAAAGGAATGGGAACAGATTGGTACTGAGTATATTTGTACTCCTGGTGATGATGCAATTGGATGTTATTTGAAAATGGTGTGTATACCAAGAAATGAACATCATGAAGGACCAAAAATTGAAGTCATCTCTGATGGAGTGGTTAGTCCTACTCCAGGGGTGTTTCCCTTTGAAAGGAGACATGAATTCACTAAATCAAGGAGTAAAACCAAAGAGTAAGTGATTATTTAAGGCAATTATAACAAAATTAACTGACTTTGGTCTTTTTAGATTTCGAGTAGTAACTTACAATATCCTAGCTGATTTATACTGTGATTCTGACCATACAAGAACTGTTCTGTATCCATACTGCCCTCCACATGCGCTAGCAATCGATTATCGAAAACAATTGTTTATGAAGGAAATTATTGGGTATAACAGTGATATTGTTTGTCTGCAAGAAGTTGATAGGAAAATCTTCAACTTTGATTTGCAGCCTGTGATGGAAAGACAAGGATTCGGAGCTGAGTTTGCCATTAAAGGTGGACAAGTCGCTGAAGGGCTTGCTTGTTTTTACAGGAAGGATAAATTTAAGTATGGAGTATTCATATTCGAATTAAATTATGAATAAACTTGAATATTAATGTTTTCAGGTTAATATCAAGTGTAAAACTTCATCTTGCTGAACAATTACAGCAGTATATAATATTCAAAGACTTTCTGCAAGCGATTTGTGCCAATGATAAGTTGAAACAGCGTTTTAATGACCGGCAAACAGTCACGCAAGTTGTAACACTAGAATGTCTTGAAACAAGAAATCTAGTGATTGTTGCCAATACACATTTGTATTTCCATCCAGATGCGGATCATATTAGATTACTCCAAGGAGCTATGAGTATGAGATTTGTTGAGGATTATTACAACAAAACCAAATCACATGTAAGTTTGTGTTCATTCGCGTTTAATGAACACATATTAATCCTTGACTCATTGAAAATTCCAGTTGGAATATAAAGATAAAAAGATATCGATTGTATTCTGTGGAGATTTTAATTCAGTACCAGATAATGGAATTTATAAACTTTTTACTGAAGGCAGTGTTGGAGAAGATTATGCAGACTGGTCAAGCAGTAAGTATTAATACGTATTTTTAATGTGTGTACTATACTTTTATAATGATTATATGCGCAGATAAAGAAGAACAAGTTAAAAATCTTACCTTATCGCAGCCATTCAAAATGGCCAGCGCTTGTGGCACGCCGCCGTATACGAATTACACCGTAGGTTTCGCTGATTGCTTGGATTATATATTTTTTGATACGAACACTGTGCATGTAACGCAACACGTACCGATGCCTACAAATGACGAGTTGATTTTTCACGCTGCGCTGCCAAGCGTCGTTTTTCCTTCGGACCACGTTTCTCTCTGCGCTGATTTGAAATGGAATGAATAACGACGCTAGATGAAATCAAGATGGTGGATTGGTGTTGCGGAAGTAACCAAATTCTGACTTAACAGGTTGCCAACCTAAAAACTGGCTCAATTGTTGGGTTATGAAAGTTATTAGAGTACAAATTTGATTTGTGTAGTTTTATTTAATAAAACTTGTTACCGTTTTAATAAAAATCTCCTTGTTAATTTATTACATGATTAGTTTAAATATGTTAAAAATGTGATGAAAAATAACCAGCGGAAGTTGAATTTAGGGTTATGGAAGTTGTTTTGACTATGTTTGAAGGTTTGTATATAAATACACATTAAAAGTAGAGTTAAACATGTGTAGAATACAAAGAAATTTGTTGAAAAGTATTTAACTAAAACGGATTTGAACATATTAAATTTATTTTCATTGAGTTATAGATGTTTTACCATGGAAAACAGTAAGTGTATACTTGGTTAATGTTGCGAATTACTGGAAAATGCAAACTTTAGATTAATATTATTTTAGAAATCCAGTTAAAACTACATTCTGCTTTTAAACATGCAAACATTTCGTTTAAAATGTTTTCACACGACAGGTAACAGATATATTGTGTCATAATGTGTAAAGATTAATTCATAATTATTGCATTGTTTTAGTTTTTCAAATTTTTTTAGGATAAAGTTCAAGGAATTTAAAGTTTTAATGAATAGCAGCACATGAAACTATCGTAACGATTGGAATTTAACGCAAATAATCACTAGTTATACTCGTTTAGATAAATAGCTTCGAATCGTCTCGAATCATCAATTACATTTTAATGCGTTTTCCACATGCCAATCTCTGATTAGAATATATATGCTCGTATCAAACGCATTAATGAGTTGAACGCTGAATGCTAGTTTCCAATTAGAAACTGCATTAATTGCCTGTAAACTGATTCCGCGCGCTGAGCTACACCCGCGCTCGCTGTTCTATTTTCGGCGTGCGTTGGCTGCGCGTCGCTATGGATTTTCGCGCTCGCGCCTCGCACGAATCCAGATGCAAGGTCAGCGCCGCGCAAAGTGGGTGACGGCGAGATTCGAGTCGTGCCGTCGTATCGATTCGATCAATACACATGACACCGACGACGACGTGCTCGGATGAAAACATTCCACTCATTCAACCGCATCGCATCGATTCACCTGGCGGCGGTGTGTGCAGTGCGTGCGCGTATCAAATGCCGCACACGAGCGGCTGCGCCGGCGGCGTTGTGAAGTGCACCACAGGGTAAACACCCTCGGTCATGACGTCCACCACCAAGTGCCGCCTCAATTCGGACGGCAGTGTCTCGCTGGCGGACATCATCACCTCGTTTCACTCGTCCATCCGCGAAGAGCACGCGTGGGCGCTGTGCCATCAGTGCGCCAAGTTCTTCGTCGACAATCTGCGCGCGGACCATCGGACCACCAGCTACCTGGTGACGGACATGCAGCATGTCTATTTACAGGCGGACGGGAATTTACATCCAAACACTTTGTACCTTCAACAGCGGGATGATCCTCGGAAGCCAATTGCCAACCAGTTGGAACTCATCAACGGCTTGGGGTGCATTATTTATAATGCTTTAGGTGAGCCAGGGTGGAATAAATAGGTCAGCCTGATCTAACCTTTGACCTACACTTTCCTACAAGACTTATGAATTGAATACATGAACTTTGAACTTTTTACAAACATTTTTTATGTCTATTGTAGATCAAGGGACTAATAATGGTGAAGAGCGAACCATAAGCAAAGACCTTGAGGAGTTGATCAATGACATGGTGGTGTACGAGCAGAGTTTTCATCATGAGACAGACGATGAGGGCATTGAGAGGGATTCTGGTGATCCGGATGGTGACGATTCAGCTTCGCGCCATCCTAATCACATAACACTACATAAAATACTAGAAAGGTGATTAATTGATAAGATATATCAACATGTTTTCGTAAAAATACTCATTATGTAGTATAATATTTAAAATTTTTATCTGTAGATGCGAGAAACATGTGGGTAAATTAAGTAAAACCGAAGCCGAGTCACATTACCGCGCAGTAGTGAAAGCACTGGTAGCCGAAGCGCTCGAATTGGCCACGTTTCTGGAAAGCGTCGCGTCCGGCATCAACACACGTAATGGCGACAACAGCACCAACACGGACCTGGAGCAGTTGCAATTCGCTGATTGGGCGCGCTTCTGGGTGCAGGTCATGTCCGAACTGCGACGGGGTTTCAATCTGAAGAAAGTCAACTATACCAAGGCGCCGATTGAATACGAACTGACACCCTATGAGATACTCATGAAGGATATCAGGACATGCCGATATCAGCTTAGGAAAATTATTGTAAGTTACAAATACACTCAGTAATCAAATCAAAATGTTTGTATGTTTTTTTGTAAATGTTTGTGTAGGTGAATGACGACGTACCAAAAGTGAACAAAGACGCGCGTGCCATTATCCTCGATTTCATTCGATCGCGCCCGCCGCTGAAGAAAGTCTCCGATCGGAAACTACCACCGCGTCAGTATACGTACACACCGCGCGAGCAACTAATGCATTCGATACGCAAAGGTCGCAAGCTGCGCAAAACCAAATTTCCGCAATCGCCAACGAAAGCGCGACATTTACCCACTGGCGGCGGCGGCGGTGACTCAGCGAACACAACAGCGCGCCGCCTCATCAAAATCGATTTGGCGCAACTGGATGACGACGATGATGATTCTGACGACAGTTCCGAGTCCTGGCCGACGCCGGAGTTGACTCGCCTGGAGCCGTACGACTTAGCATTAGAAACACCGCTGCGCGCTGCACCGCGAAGGCATTCATTGAGTGTTTGTCTCGAACCGAATATGGGCAGTCAAAGTGTTCCACAGTCACGACCTTGCTCGCGGCAGTCATGTGCGAGCAACGATACACTCGACGGTGTCTCCGTGCAGTTACCACCGGAAATCTCCAAAGCACTGGAAGACAACTCAAAACCCTGGCATGAAAATGTAAGTCTGGAAGATCGCTTAGCACTCACCCTCGAAGAAATCGTGCATATTCGGATAGTACTCACCAAGGCGGAGTTAGAAGCACTTCCGGTCGAAGGACATGTACGCGGCGACGTTGAAAACCGTAAGGTGTGTTTCCTGTGTCTGAAAACACGTTTTGGTATCCTCGGTCCATGGGGGCATCGGTGTTCGCTATGCAAGCGTACAGTCTGCTCAAAATGCTACTCAAAGATGAACATCCCCATGGAGCATTACTCCAGCCTGCCGGTGGTGCTACTCAGTCCGAGTAATATGTGCACACCCGAGGAGGAGTACTCCAAAGTGTTGAATAACAAAAACAGCGCGAATTCCAGCCCGCAGCCGAGCCCGTGCAATTCGCGGCCTTCATCATCTCTGGATCGGTTTCGAAATAAAGCTCTAACTGTAACCAAACCGAATGTTGTCGATCGATTGAAGGGCAGCCAGATGCTGGTGTGCAACGACTGTAAAATGATGGTGCTGCAGATCATCAAGTCCGGACAGGCGAATCGCAGCGCCATCCGCAACAAACACCTGCAGAACTTGACGCTCAACTTGGAGCCGGTTTTCACGGTGCAATGAACTAGTAGCAATTGCATTCACAATTCACACTTCCAAAGATTACAGATTACAGGTTGCGTTGAGGGAATTAACGAAATGTATAATGACATTAATCGGGGCTGTGTTTCTAGTATTGTTTAACGTTTAAGTTCCTTTTCTTCAGTAGACATCCCACCACGGAAAAAAACACTTTGCTGCAAACAACCAACTTTAGACCAAAATGATCTTTCTAGTTGTCTAAGAACTAATCGATAAGTGATTAAATAGTCAAAGATATTTGAGGCACAATAACCAACAAGTTAAGTATTAGAAAATGAGCACAGACATGTTTAAATCTAATAATAAATGGAAACCCTAAGACTGTAAATATTAATTATATATTAAAGAAGATATCGAGTCAGATTTTATGTTAACGCGCGTATAGAATTGTATTATTTATTGATTATTATGCAGAATTCAGTTTTCTTTTGTATGAGATATGCATGCTTCAAAAATGTGTGTGGCCTAAAACTTGATCACAAAACAAGAGTTTTTATCCGAATTGTGTGAATATAAGTCAAGTATTTGTTTAAAGTGTCTTTAAACCATTGCAACCACAATACAACCAAAGATAGAGTCTATTATTTTCGTAATCAGAGGAAAACTATGAATATAGAAACAAATTGTATATCTGCTGTTGAGATTTCTAAAGATATATACCACGACACAATCATGGATGTAGAATAAATGATATTAATAATGAAACTATATCAATATCAAGCACACGAATTGCGACTCTAAGCAAAAACATACTGATATATAAGAAATGCGTGTTGATTGTTAAAATTATTGTAAGGACAATAGAAAAGTACAAACGTTACACACGAAACAAAGACTCAAGTAGACTTCTAGGTGACAATTCTTGTTCAAAATAGCATTTCGGTGGCGTTTGTGGTTTTCTACTGTCGCAAAAATACAAATATCTATTAAGGTTAAAAGTGCATAGCAAAAAACAAACGATAAACTAGTCTAAAACATAAGACCTTGCTGGTAAGAACCTTGAAAACGCTTGAAACTATGAAATTCGACACCGAATCATTTGATCTCTTCCACTTCAGTCACCAAAACTTTATGTTTGACGCCGAATGGAAACACAAAAATGAACGAAACAAAAAATATAAATTATTGGCTTAAAACAACGCTTGTATTTGTTTATTCTTAATGATTGTGTTTTTAAGATGTTTTTAAAGGATGGGACTTACTTGAGTGAAGGTTTGTTTTGTAAGAATGAGACGTCACGCCGATTTTCAACTTTTTTTTAGATACAAATAATAACCTGATACCACAGATGTAATAATTTTAAAACTCATATGATGTGGTAAGCGGTTACTTCTTCGCCGGCGCCGCCTTCTTCGCAGTCTTCGGCTTCTTCTTCCTGTCCTTCAGGATCTGCGCTCGCCGCTTGGCCTGCATCTTGGCGGACCTCACCACTGGATGATCAGCGGCCAGCTTGATCTATAAAATAAAAGATAAAAATTAAAAAAGTACATAAAATATTACTTTGAAGAATTTTGATAGTTATTGAATCAGTTATGAATGTCAACGAGTAATCATGGTAATTTCTCATAACCCAGTGCTCAAAAAGCATATCATCATTTAAAAAACAGTTAAAAAGTAAATTTTATGTCCAAAATTAAACGAAACTTAACTTAAATTGAGCTAAAAGTGTATACTTTGTGCTTTTTTAACACTTTGTAATGTTTTTACTTACACCACGCTTCTTTGCGAGTTCCTCTTCCCTCAGGAGCGCGCGCTTCTTGGTGGCGAGAATAGCCTGCCTCTTAAGGACGGCCGCGTACGGGTTCAGCTTGAGCATGGCCTTGGCGTTAGTCAATGGATTGAGACGACGTACACGACGTTCAACCTTCTTCCTACAAATCAAAACAATACAATCAGTAAACATCAACGAAATTTTCAACTTTGAAGAACAATTGAGTATAAATAAAATCAGATGTCAACAAGTAATCACATGAATTCATAACCCAATGCTCTGAATAAATAAAAGTTTCATCAGTAAATAATTTCAAAACATGATTTGTATAATAATAAAGTAATACAACATACTGTGGCGCACGGAGAACGCTCTTGATTTCCTCGGATTTCAACAACTTGGAGAGGTCGGTGTTGGCCATCTTGGGCTGGGGCAGATTGTAGCCCTTCTTTTCGAGCGAGTTGCTCTTCCAGGTGCCGAACAGTTTGTCCAACTTCTCGAATGCAGACTGAGTCCAGATGACAAAGCGGCCGACATGACCACCGGGCGCGAGTTTCAGCAGGTTAAGCTTCTCGACGCTGATGAGGTCGATGCCGGGGATGTTGCGGAAAGCACGGCGTAAACCCTGGTCTTTGTGGTAGACGATCAAGGGACCGCGACGCTGGATGCGACGACGGTTACGCATCTTACCCTTACCAGCGCGGAAACGCTGCGACTTGTAAACCTAAACAATAAATTAATTAAACATTAATAATAGAAAAATTACATTTTTGTTGATAAAATAGGAAAATAAATAATTATCAGTATTTGGAGAGATAAGATCATGAACAAAATCATAAACACGGACCAAATAATTCATCATAATATAAAAATATGGGAAATGAATGAAAATAATTAATACCTTTTGGATATCACCCCAAACTTTAGCCCTGCGCAAGAAGATAACCGCCTGCTTAGTCTTGGTGAGCTCCTGCACCTTGTCGGAGACGACGAATGGCAGTTCAGGGACCTGATCGATGACATGGCCCTTGCTCATGACGAGCGCAGGCACGCCAGACGCAGCGACCGCGGATGCCAAAGCATAACGGCGCTGGTTGACGTTGATGCGTCGGTGCCAGCGGCGCCATGGCTTGGTCGGAGCGAACATGCGACCTCCACGGCACATGTTGCCGAACGCACCCTGGCCGGAGCGGTGGGTACCGCCACCACGGACACGTGGAATACGGGCGACAGCGCGACCGGTACCCCATGATTCAGCAGAAGTCTGATGACCTGAAGAATATTTAAAATGTTACTTAATATTTCTATTTCTTTGGTTAAATTATTTGTTTTAAAATTGTGAACATCAGAAGTGGTTGAAGGGTATAATCACTGACAATATCAGCAACACGGACCAATAAAATCATCATGTACTAGTTGAATATTAATAGTAATCTTAATAAAGCATTTTTACTAACCAGCTTTGTTGCTAACGCAGTACGGCTGGCGATGGTTCATCGACATCTGCTGGTGCACGAAGTTGACGACATCGGGGCGGATGGGCGCCTTGAAGACTGAAGGCAGACCGAGCACCTTATCCTTCACAGCCTCCGACTTTTCGGTGTATATGCTCACCAACGGGCGAGCCGTAGATAAAGACTACAAAATTAATACACAAATTATTCATCAACACCTCTTAAATATTATAATATTAAAAATGCGAAACTTTAGTGAATATTTCAGAGCTTTTGTTAATTATAGTCATGAACAAATCATAAACACGGACCAAAAGCAGATCATCAAGTGTAAACTAACCTAACAACTTCAGATTCTTTACACGTGAATATTACAATAACTACGAGTAATTTAGACGAAACAAAGAGTACACTTTACCATCAGTATCTTGTGTTTATTAGTTTATATGAATATATAGATGCAAGTAATGATATTTGTCGGTATTCCATGCCGAAAACACGTGGCCAACGCGCGTATGGCATGTTGTGCAGCATGTATTGCACTTTGTTGAAATTACACAAAAATTCAGCACCGCACCGGCGTAATTATGTTCTCACCCGTTGAGTAAACCCGACTGAAGAGAACTAAACCAAAATATCACTTACCATTCTTGTGGTTTACTTATAACTAGTCTTCTTTACACATAAGCACATCAAGCGAACTCAGGCGTCCGCCATAAAAAGGAAGTGGAGAGCGGCCATCACGCATCACATAGCTTCTGTATGTCCGACGTTAGGGGGCCCCAGTCTAACTTCCTACACCGCGCTGTTTTCAAACTCGCGTGAAAATATTGATCAAACAAACAAATATCACGTAAAATAACTACTAATACAAAATATAATATAAAATGTTTATACCAGATACTATTTCTAGTAATATTTTAGCGGTATATCATAGAGAAAAACAGAAAAACACAAACAGACAACTTAAAAGTGAAGATTTAACAAATTGTGGTGTAAAAAAAGTAAAAACATTGAGAAAATTGTGTTTAGACACAATTGTCACACATTGGGAAGGTATGTAATTAATAATAATCAATATGTATATGTTATTTGAATTTAAACGTTGCAGATATCAAAATAATCAACGAATTTGTTTTGGACGAAGACGCACGATACGTTTTGGATAATCTACAACCAGATTTACCTTTTAAACTTGCAATAGAACACATTCATGATGATTTGTATTGGCGACGAGCTTTCCGAACACGCTGGGCAGGTAAAATTTTACCTACAAAGCCCGTAAAGATGGATTACGAGATTCCAAACCAGTTCAAACGCTCAAAACGCAAAAATACAACAGAAAATGAACAAAATATTGTTAAAATTAACACCTGGAAATGTTTTTATGTTGAAAGACATCTCCAGGATATTTTGGAGCATTTAAAACCTGAGAATTATAATTCTGAGGAAGTAAGTATAATATGTATGTTGGGTTGCCTATATCATTTACTGCATAAGTTTGCTAAACCAAAAAATTAACACATTTTACGTTTTCCTGTCGCATGTTTGCATCAAATAATTATCAATTTGCAACTGGTGACTCATCCTTGCACCTTTGAATAAACAACGCAGCGTTCGTTCGCAGAATATCAATTGTTTCGGTTTCAGATGAAAGAATTGATTGAATTAAGCCGAGATTACATCATTCGTTTAAAATTAAACCAGCTACAAGCACCAAACGACAATAACACTGAACGTATTCCATTACAAGCGATTCTTCCTGCATTAAACAATATGAAACAATTGAATATATGCTTTAAACAAGTAAGCATCGTCGCCATTTTGTATATTTTGAATTGACATTCATTTTGCACTTGCAGACTTACGTCGGCGATGATTTCTCATGGCATATTCTACAAACTACGCCGAGAGACATTGAAAACCTCGGAAAAGGACTTGAAAAGTGTGATTTAGAAGTTCTCAGGTAGTATTTATCTAATTATAGATAAACAGGTTTTGTTTTTATAATGGGAAATAACTGATTGCTATAATTGCTTGTTTGTTGTTGGATTATAGTCGTTTTCTTGCGTCTTTTTTTTTCTTGTTTGCAGAACGACAGCAATAAACATTTGTTTAACGATTTTGATGCCTTATAGGATCATAAACACGGACATTACATGCGACAAAGTAACAATGCTTGCGTGTCATTTGTCTACGAATAAAAATCTACGTGTTCTGGACTTTTCCCATTGCAAAATCGCCGATAAAGGAATAGTGGCACTTTGTAAGCTGCTACAAGAGTTGCCTAACTTGGTCGAATTGAATTTAATGAATAATTTCATAGGTAACATTGCTATAACCTATCATAACCTCAAATGTGACAATATAATCTTTTTCTGTTAAAGAATCAAAAGGTTTGGAATATTTATGTTACACTCTGAGTAAACCCGACATTAAACTAAAACAGCTTCATTTGAATCTGAACAATTTCGGTGCGTCTGGTGCGAACTTTTTGGCGCGAATACTTGTAGAGAATACACAATTAGTTCAACTGAATTTGTCTGCTTGTGGATTGACCACGGACAATGTCGCGTTGTTGATCAAGGCGTTGCGGACAAATTCGACGCTCTTGCATCTTGATTTGAGCAACAATTCATTGAATGAGGTGAGTCATGGCTCATGACAAAATATTTACGTTTTACAATGGATGGGTTTAAAGAGCATGCGAAACTGATGCGAATCGATGAAGTGATGACCCAGATTACGCACTTTCACTAATTTATTTTTATCAAACTTGCATCATATTTTGATTATCCTGTGTATTCTTCTCATTATTAGTGGTAATTGGTATCTTATTTGGTAACTTTGAACTTGGACTGTTATTGTAGGTGTTTGTTCATCCGTAGCGCGCTGTAATATGATTAACATGCCTAACCGCAAATCGTAAATTGTGTTTGCCTATGGTAATCATTAGTTTTGTATGTTTCGCCGCCATTTGCATTTATTTTATTGGTTTAAGTATGTTTTTTAGGATTTCACTATAAATTAAGTTGAAATACTATTAATTTGCTGAAGATAATGTGGTTTACAATAGAATTACAATTGTTTTATATTTAACTACGAGTAGCTTTTGCCCGTGACTTCGTCCCGGTAGTGTTTAATAAAAATGTAATTCGTCTTTACTCTCTTGTTCTAGACATAGTATGTGTCAATTCTATCAATAAGCTTTGCAATTTTATTTTAAAGAAATTAATTTTATAAAGGATTGCTAATAATGCAATTTAGCGCGCCATCTCAAATTCAACTGTTTAACTATAACTATGATTGAATCTTAATGCAAACTTTTATCCTATAGAAAAGGGCTGTCTTTAGGGTTTTCCCGGCAATTATTCAAATTTTTCTCGTCGTAAAAACCATTCTTTGACTTTAACGAACAGTTTAAAAAAAGAATTGGCCAAATTGGTTTATGTGTTGTTGAGTTATGCGCTTACCAACAGATTTTGCAATTCATTTTTATATTTTGTAGATGTAATTTTAAACTACGCTTAAATAAGTCAATAATCAATAATGATTTTTATTGTGGTTCTTGCAAATATTAGCAAATCTTGCTTTATGTCTTGTTTTCTGGTTGAAACTATATAATTTTGTAATTTGCTAGTGTAGTTAATGTTGAGTTAATTACTTGTTTAGTTTAAAATGCAAACTTGTTTTTATGCTGTGAGATATAACCAGATATAAATCAATTGTTTTGATTAATTCTGATTATTTACAGAATATTGGCGATTTGTTTATTAAGTTATTAAACTCATCAAATTTAACATTGCAATCATTGGATCTGCGAATGACTTTGATTCCTTCCGAAACCATGCTAATGATTGATGAAATATTGAACCATCCAAAGCGGAAGTCCTCATACAAATATAATAAAAGATTATATAAAAACTTTAAAGATTCAAGTCAGTTAAGTGATGTTAACGAAAACAAAAATACAACAGAAGTTGACGATACAACTACAGAATTAAAAGATTCTAGTAATGAAAAAGATAGTAATAGTTTTCCGCCATTCCACAACGTTGAAGATATGGAAAATCAAGTCGAAAACGTTTTTCGCGTGTATTTAAACACATTAAAGAAAGAATTGAATGACTGCTGTGATGAGTACTATGATGAAAACGAAGATAGTGCAAGAAGTGATGCAAAACAAGAAGAATTAATTGAAAAATCATATCAAGAGAATTCTAATTCTAATGGCGATCATATTTGACCAGACAAGATTGTTTGGTTGCATAGCTAATCTTTAACCTTAATCTTAAGTAAAAATATTTTCAATGTAAATTACGTCTAAATAAACATTTTACACACTTTATATCAATAAATATCATTCTTATTTGTGTCTCTTGCTCTGTCTCTGCGGATAAATCTCATGAGTCACAGATTTCTTGTATGTAAATACCTCGTAAACCGGGACTGGCCCCTGTGTAGCATTGGGAAAATCCAAGCGATTCAATTCCAACGTAGTCACTCATTCCGTTTCAAGTTCACAACAAAAACTCATGTTTATGCGCAACACTTGATACTCAATGAATTTTGACTATATTATTGACATATATTAATTGAATTAAGTATTGCATACTCGTACGATATACCAGGTATATTACGAAATCAATTGCTAAGAATTTTGGATTAAACTACAACTAATTATATATTATATTAATTATACACTAATTCTCTTTAATTTTATACTGGGCAGATTTTTAGGATGAACTTATGAAGGCCAAATGCTTATTATGAATGGTATTGTATTAGTATATATCTAGAAATAAAAATAAATAATTTATTATTTTTAAGATTTATAAATGATGTAGGTAACAAGAATACGTTGAATTCATTATGGCGTTTTATGAATAACATCCTTGATTGCGGTTGTGCTTCCAAATTTGGATTTTCTAGATTTCTCAGTACACAATAATAATATAATTATTCATAACTGCTCATATTTGTTTCCATGTGTTTATATTCTGATTAATTAATTTATTTATTTGACCTCACTATGAGTTTTTATTTTTATAAATAAAGAGTTTAGTTAAGGAAAATTGATTATTAGTGTTTAGGCAGTAAAGAAAATATATTTCTATGCAAATTTACGCAAATATAAATTGTTCAGAACAAGACTTTTTAAAACCGCTAAATATTTGAATTTTATAAATTTGCAAGTTTAATTTAAATTTATTGAAATATTTCTGTCGAATTTTCCAATTTTTTGATTTTTATTAGATACAAAGACATTCTGGGAAGTTATTCCGGATCTATTTGAACTTTTAGAAGTCAAAAGTGTTTTGTTACCTTTTTTGTATTTGTATGTTGTTTGTATTCTTGGGAAAAACTCATAAAACACAAATCAAATTTTTGGGCGGATCTAACGGAATCTTTTTTCTATCTGTAGCAATTCAAGTTCACATTTTGCTAACATTTTAAAATATGCTAAATGTGCGCTTAGTAAAAACCCTCTAACCAACCATTCAACAAATTATATACCTATATACAAAGTGATTGAAGAACTTAACGTTAAACATACGTTAAACATCATGTGTAGATATTATTTTTATTCCCATTTGTCTTATTGTAAATTATGATATCCTGTAACACAATTCGTAAATCACACACACACACACACATCCACGCCACGCGCAAAAAATGCAAGAAAAACCGGCTCAGATGTGCCGACATCTGATCAGACAGCAGAATTATGTAAAGTCGATATAAATACGCCGGCAGCGACCATCGCGGATCGCATTCGCGGTCGGCGATTACGCCAGCGATCATCGACACAAATTCACACAACCACGAGATCTTAATTATCACCTTTTAGTTGTTGTGTTTTTTAAGTGCGACCATGGGATTTAAATTCGTTGCGGTGTGCTTCATCGCGTCCATATTAATTGACTCAAGTAAGTAGAAAACAAACAAACAAAAATAATTTCAAACACAATCCGCCATTTTGTTTATTGTTTTACTAGTTTTTGCCCGCGACTTAGTCCCGGTAGTGTTTAATAAAAATGTAATTCGTTTTACTCTCTTGTTCTAGACATAGTATGTGTCAATTCTATCAATAAGATTCGCAATTTTATTTTAAACAAATTAATTATATAAAGAATTGCTAATAATGCACTTCAGCGCGCCATCTCGGATTCAACTATTTAACTATAACTATGATTGAATCTCAATGCCAACTTTTATCCTATAGAAAAGGGCTGTCTTTAGGGTTTTCCCAGCAATTATTTAAATTTTTCTCTCCGTAAAAACTATCCTTAGACTTTAACGAACATTTAAAAAAAAGAATTGACCAAATTGGTCTACGCGTTGCTGAGTTATGCGCTTACCAACAGATTTTATTTTTTAGGTTCACAATATGGATATAGCTATGGTGGTTCCAGTTCAAGTGCTTACAGTTCAGCAAGTTCATCAGGTAAATTATTTATTTCTCAGAATTAACTTAATTTTAAGGTTAGATATGTTTATTGAGGTTATGATTTGTTTTAACCTTATTTATGTATAATTTTTAGCCTATAGCTCTGGTGGTGTGGACAGTAAAGAAGGCGAAGAACTAATCAAAGACATAGCTAATGGTATCAAAGGAATTTTAAGTCAATCCGGAAGTTTCGCTGGAGGTTACGGCGGTGGTTCCGGTTTTGCCGGAGGATATGGAGGTGGTTACGGAGGCGGTTACGGAGGAAGCTCAGGTGGCAGTGGTTATTCCGGAAGTTACCACGGCGTAAACGGCGGTTCCGGTTTTGGTGGTAGCGGCAGTGGAAGCAGTTCCGGTGGTTATGGCGGCGGATACGGTGGTGCTTCCTCAAAACCCTGCTACACAGGCGGTTGTAACCCAGGAGCTGGTCACTTTGGTGGTCCAGGTGGTAGCCAGGGAGGTAATCAAGATATATTTGGAAGTGGAGGTACCGCCACAGTTATAATCGATGGTGAAAAGTGGACCGGACCAGTTCCAGGACCAGATGGCATACCTTCCGAGTTGTTTATCTCTACAGGACCTATCAAAGGAGGTTCATCTGGAGCTTTTGCTGGTTCTGGTTCTAGTTCTGGTTCAGGAGGTTATGGTGTAAGTGGAATATTTGCATCAGTTGCACCCGGAGGTAGTATACATGATAGTAAACCTGCGTATGGTCATAATGGTGGGTCTAAACCTACTGTTGTTGTTGTTACTACTACTACTGGTGGTCATGGTGGTCAAAGTAACCAAGGAGGTGTACATACTAGTGTTACAAGTGGTTCTGGCGGGAATAAGTTCCCGGGACCTCAAGGGAGTATTCATGATAGTAAACCAGTTGGACAATATCCCACATACCCATCAAATCAACAAAAACCATCAACACCTATTTTCACCAGTCCTACTTCTAATCCTACATCTTATCCAGGACATGATTCCGGTGAACATCATTACACTGGTCCTTTCCCAGGACCTGCTGGTAGTATTCACGATAGTAAACCTACTGTAGCAACTTCTACTTCCACTGGAACAACTGCTGGTAGTAATAGTGATGGTGGATACCATGGAGGACCAGGTGGTCATCTAGGACCTTCTTATGGTAAACCTCAATGTGGATCTTCTGGTAACTGTAATAACAACAAACCGGAAGAACCTCGTGTGCCCCAATGTTCAGGTGAAGGTTGTTATGGTCAATTGACACCATCATCTAAACCAGATATAGTTGGACCCATTCCAAAACCTTTGGATGATAGTAAATGTCCACCAGGTGGTTGTAAAGTAATAGATAGTTATCAACCTCCCCCAAGTGGTATCCCACCAGGTTTTCCTACTACAGATATTCACAGTACCAGTACTGGTGGTAAGATTCCTGGAAATTATAAACCACCTACCACAAATCCGTTTGAAGCACCTGAACCCACCAAACCTAGTGATAGTGGATATGGATCAATTGGAACTGGGTCATGTGTAGGTGGTGCTTGTCATCCAACTGGAAATGGACGCCCTGGTGCTGTTAATCCATTTGAAACACTTCCGAATGGAAGTCCTTGTGTGGGAGGTAATTGTGGTAATGCAGGTGGTCACACTTCTACTTCTTCATCGGGTAGTTACGGAGGTAGTGCTACACAAAACCCAAGTGGTACACCTGGTTGCTTAGGAGGACTGTGTAGTACCACTGGAGGTGGAAATGGCTTCCTAGCTGGTCCTGGCTTTGGGGTAAAGACCCCGGAACTGCTCCAGTTGGTAATGTTGCAGGACCATGCTCATCAGGAAACTGCGGGTCAACTAATCAAGGTCATACTGGTTCAGGTCCAGGTTTTGGTGGGGATATTAGTTTACCTGGTTATGGAGGAAAGGATCCGGGAACCGCCCCAGTTGGTAATGTTGGTTCACCATGCTCATCAGGAAACTGCGGATCAAATAATCAAGGTCATACTGGGTCAGGCTCTGGTTGTACCGGAGGTTCTTGCACAAATAATAACTCTGGTCCTGGTTTTGGTGGGGATATAAGTCTACCTGGTTATGGAGGTAAAGATCCAGGAACCGCCCCTGTTGGTAATGTTGGTACACCATGTTCTTCAGGAAACTGTGGTTCTAACAATGAAGGCCATGTTGGTGGAACTGTTTGCATAGGAAGTTCTTGTACTCATTTTGGAGATAAAGATGGTCAGAAACCTGATGGTTATAATCCTAATGATAAAGACGACGCCATCCATTTTGTGGACAAAGATGATTCATATGGATTTGGTGGGTCTTATGGATCTGTTGATGGTGCAGGATTTGGAGGTGGTTTTGGCGGTGGTTTTGGAGGAGGTTATGGTGGATCATCCGGGAATAGTGGTGGTGGAAGTGGTGGTTATGGAGGATCATCTGGAGGTGGTTATGGAGGTGTAAAAGGAGGTTCTGCCGGTGGTTCTTATGGTAATTCAGGAAGTAGTAACAATCAAGGTCAAGGAGGTTATGCTGGTATTAAAGGTGGAGCAGGTGGAGCGTATACTTCATCAAGTTTATCTGGAGCGTCAGCAGGAGCAGGAGCAGGGGCGGCAAGTGGTGGAGGCGCATACTCCGGAAGTAAGTATTTGTTTTAGCCGTTGAATAAGACAAAACAATGAAGTGTAATGTTTTCTAATTTTGCTTTGTTTTTAGGTTTTGCTACAGCATCAGCGTCAGCCCATGCTTCAGCAGGACATTATTAAGTTATAGATAGAAAAATAATAATATACAAAACATGAGAACTGAATTAATTTTAAATGTCATCTTAATTATGAGATCACATCAAAATAAATAAATAAATCTATAATATAAAAATGAATTGCAAAATCTGTTTGTAAGCGCATAACTCAATAACGCCTAGACCAATTTGGCCAATTCTTTTTTAAAAATGTTTGCGAAAGTCCAAGGACTGTTTTTACGGCAAGAGAAATTCGAATAATTGCCGGGAAAACCCTAAAGACAGCCCTTTTTTATTGGATAAAAGTTGGCATTAAGATTCAATCATAGTTATAGTTAAATAGTTGAATCAGAGATGGCGCGCTGAAGTGCATTATTAGCAATTCTTTATATAATTACTTTCTTTAAAATAAAATTGCGAATCTTATTGATAGAATTGACAAATACTATGTCTAGAACAAGAGAGCAAAAATAAATTTCATTTTTATTAAACAATACCTTGACGAAATAGCGGGAAAAGTGAAAAAATCTATAAAAAAAAAACAATTTTAGGATCTAGGGTGTTACCTAATTTACAGGAATGTGAATAAAGTTGCATATACTTCAACGTATAACTTCAATATAATAATTTTAATGAAATACTAAGCAAATAAACTAACAAATAAAAGTAATATAAGTGTTGTTATAAAACAAGGTCAAAGCAAACATACACAAAAACTTAAGAAAAAATAAATCAAATAATTTGGCAATAATTTCATGTATGATGTGTAAGTTACCTAATACACTGAAGTGTGCATTTGGTTGCATATATTTCAATATATTACCACAATATAATTTAACAAATGGATGAGTATTGAGCAAACAACCCAACAAATGAAAGTAATTTTAATGCTCACATGAAGGAAGGTCAAAGTAAACACACTAAAGAAGAACTCCACTGAAATAAATCAAACAATTTAGTAATAATTTAATGTTTATTCCTATTCTAAAAATAGCAAATAAATCTATACATTAAAACACATGTTACATCAATATGTTCAATGCATTGACACCAAGGTTATTAATCTTTAACATTTCCAATCTAAAATTGTATTCCTCCTGCTGTAACATTAAATAATTTTAATCGATTTAACCGATAATGAAATTACGAGACTCAATAATAATAAAAACGAAAAAAAAAAACGCAAAATGGTAACGATGTGAAGTGAAAGTAAATTTTCTTTTCATTCGACTCACAGACATCTCAAAGTATCCAATGTGCGAACAAAGGAATAAAATTAGATTTGAAATTGACCGCAGATCACATCATGCGAGATGCTATCGCAAATTGTTTCGTGCTTTACTGCTTTACGTTATACACCAAACGTTTTATTTATTGATTGCACTCTGCGTTCAATTTCATCGCCGACATTTTCATTTTACAGCTAATAAATGCGTGTGAGTCGTGCTCGGACCTGGAATGTAAAAAAAGCCGAAGAAAATTTAAAGAAAGTTGAGTGTTTTATACACGCAGAATTCACACGAATATTTTATGCGCATGCGCATTAAAAAAAAGAGTTAAATATTTATGAGTTGTATTACTTCCAAAGCGTTGATTACATCTAATTGTATTCAATTGCTATGGATGTATGAGTTTTTTTTATTGTTCTCGGGTTTGATTAGCAACGTCTTTGCGTTTTTGATGTACATTGATGAAGACGTAGATGCCTGCACGTAGAGTAGAACACCTTGAAGTAATATCGAAATCAACATAATTCAAACTTAATTAACGATCATTAACGACTCGCATCAAATGTACACAGCTGCAGATTATACAAGAGCTTTAAATTACATTGTTTTAGAGTTAAAGAATTAAAAATATATAATTAGAGGTTATTGTAGTTGCATATTTATAGAGGAATGTATGTTGGGTGGCATACGCTACAAAATGTTATATGAATCAGTAATTTTCGATGTATATTAAATGTTTGATGAAATAACTTGTTTAAATATATAAAGAAAAAGATGATATACTTTAGTTGAAGAATAATAAGTATATTAGGCCAAGGTTGTTTATTTTTAGCTTTGGCCCGCAACTTCATTCCGGTAGTGTTTAATAAAAATGTAATTTGTTTTTACTCTCTTGTTTTAGACATAGTATGTGTCAATTCTATCAAAAAGATTCGCAATTTTATTTTAAAGAAATTAATTATATAAAGAATTGCTAATAATGCACTTCAGCGCGCCATCTCGGATTCAACTATTTAACTATAACTATGATTGAATCTCAATGCCAACTTTTATCCTATAGTAAAGGGCTGTCTTTAGGGTTTTCCCGGCAATTATTCGAATTTTTCTCGACGTAAAAACCACCCTTGGACCTTAACAAATACTAAAAAAAAAGAATGGGCCAAATTGGTTTAGGCGTTGTTGAGTTATGCGCTTACCAACAGATTTTGCGATTTATTTTTATATTATAAATTTTACACCCTTTTAGTTATATTTTTGCGACAAAAAGTAGTCTGTTTGTTTCTCCTTAGTTACAAATAACTGTATACTAAAATTTATCAAACGTTCTTCATTAGTTTCGGTTTGAAAGCGCCACAAACAAACAAATAATTTGGAATCATACAGTTTTAACCTATTAATACATATTTTAACAACATTTTATGCTTTAGTTGCTTAAAAACTTAATAAAAACAGTAAATATAAAATATGATGCATGAAACGGTTGTTGGCCAACAATCAGTATAAATTTAATCCATCTAATAAGCACAATTTGAGTGTTGAAAGTAACAATTACACCTGCCGACACGTTTCCATCGAGTTTTTCGTCATCAGCCGCCAATAAAAACGACGTTTTTCGATTTTATTAGTACATGCACACAAAACCAGCGTGATTTACCTGTTTAATAATAGCTGTCGAATGTCGAATGGTGTTATTAACGATGCCGCAATCGCGAAAATTGTAAACTCAAATTTCGTCACAATTCTAAACTATTTTTTACTCCTTACTCCATACCCACTACCAGCATAATATTAATTATAACTTAATTCTGTGTTTAAGAGCATACGATTTAATTTTAATTCATTAATAATGCATTTAACTGCATTTAACATTAATGCTTGTGTGGTGATGTGCGTGTGGAAAGAAAAAGGTCAAAATTGCATGCGAGTGGCATGTAATTGCAAATGGCCGCGATTCGTCGCTCAACGGCCAATACCAAATTGAATATTAGTTTAAATGCCGCCGGACGACTTCAACGATGCCGCAATCATCATCGTGAGCAGCGGACAACGAGCAATGTTAGCTCTAAGCAAATAATATGAAGATAAAGGAGAAACTCATTCACACACAGAAGCAGCGGCGGCGCGCGCAAGCAAATAAAATTTATTTAAATTCATTGATGTTTTAAACGATGACATTAACATTCAACATCGGCAGAGTAATAAATTAGACATTAACATAAAATCCATGCATAAATAATTTTACTTAAAGTGTGATTACAGCAATACGTATATTAAATTTGTGTATATTTGGTTGCATAGATTTTTGTATTTTTTATGATATTATTATTAATTAGTTGTGTTTGCGCAGAATTTAATTTACGAGTAAAATAGTTTAATTAATTTTTATTTTGTTTTTGCATCAATTTTATGTTAATTTCCTTGAAATTCTTCTAAAAATCTCAATTTTAATAAAAATAAAAATAAGAAATACTAATTATCTACTTAAGCGGCATCTAGATTAAAATTATAGAAGTATTATTATGATTAAATCCCTATAATTACTTTAAACCCCTATTTTACACCCTTAAAGTTAATATTTTACAACAAATTTGCGTCTATTTGCTTTTCCTTCCTCAAAATTATTTCTATACCAAAATTTAACAAAATACGTTCAGTGGTTTATGCGTGAAAGCGACACAAATAAACAATAAATCCCAAACATGCATTTATAATGTCCATTCGCTATGATTTACTGCTTTAGATAATATTTAACACATTAATCATTGCATTAAAACGATTTTTAATGTTTTCTCGATTAAATACAATATTTAAAATGCATTTATTTGCCTGACCACGAGAAGTTTAATAAATTATCTCTTGTGAAACGGTCAAGGCTCATACAAGACGGAAAATTACCGCATGAACCTGCAATATGCATTAATTACACAGCCGTTAATTACATGCAAATATTTCTTTAAGGATTTTTACATTTTTTTTCACCTGTTAATAAAATTTTCGATTTAAATTAAAAAAATGTTAATAATGCACTTTAGCGCCATCTCGAATGAAATTATATAAACATAAGTATGATTAAATTGTCATATTAGTTTTTGTCTCTAATTTTACACCCTGTATATGAAATTTTTGCAACAAAAATAGCCTATTTGTTTTTCTCAAACAAAACTATTTCTATACCAAAATTTATAAAAATTGCTTCAGTGGGTTTTGTTTAAAAGCGTCACAAACATACAAACAAAATAATATTTGTT